GTGACGTATGTTTCCCTAGCATAGCTTATGCATGACGTATGGTTGTCACTCTGAGATGAGTGTCGAATATGGCATGTGTCTGCCTCGCCTCTAACATCAGTGTTCTTATTTTAAGGTCTGGGCTCCCACAGGCCAGGACTGGTGCTCCTTGCATCCTGTGTAGTCAAAACAACTTACAACACATTCACCACCACAAAGACCTACGAATTTCATAGACGTTCAGCTGCAGCTTTTTATGGCTTGGCGTTTGTGTCCATACAGGAGAATGATGTCCATGCCAGCTTCGAACCCGGTCGTCTCGTCTCCAGAATAGATACGAACACCAAACAAAAACCGCAGCTGAACGTTTGTGATATTCGAGGTCTTCGTGTTGGTGGATGTGTTGTAAGTTGTTTGGACCGCATAGGATGCAAGAAACAACAGTCCCATTCTGTGAGACCCCAGGCCTTAAAATAAGGCACTGAAGTTAAAGACAAGGCAGACACATGCCATGTTCGACACTCATCCCAGAGTGAAAACCATACGCCATGCATTCACCATGCGGGGAAGACATGGGACACATCGCTTTGTGTAGAGCTTTGCGTTGCTTTGTATTTTCTATATGATCCGTGTAGCCATGTAAGCACATCTTCTGCGGTGTCGCGGTTCACCGCAGGTTTGCTGGCATTTCAACCGAGCGCGTGCAGGATGTTCGTGTGAATCAAATGGATCTCGCAACGAACTGCCTCGGACTGCTGCCTCATCGTGTCCCAGGATGACACGACTGCGTGTGCTACAAAGTTTAGAGGTTGTCGTCTTGTGATACGCTGGGAGCTTCGAAACATTGCATGGCTGGCATGCAATGAGACGGAGGAAACCAAGGTGTGCTGTTGTGACAGGCTGCTTGGGATCAGTCTCGATGGCCTAAGATGATACGGCAGCCAGAGATACGCTATTCAGAGCTTAACCGTTGTGATTTTCTGGGACCTTTGAGTCATTAGACAGATGACGTAGTGCATTGCGTGGCACTGCAGCAGATTTCTGACTGCTTGCGTTATATTTATACTAATGAAGACCTGGCTTGTGCCAGTCTTTTTCGCGAGTCAGAAAAAAGAGATATCGTTAAACACAGCTTCTATTTTCTCGTCACTTACACACACCAACACTCACACCACAACGCCCACCAACACAGCCAACAGCGGTCCTGCTTCTTCAAGCCCGGAGAGAGTGACAGCATACAGAATCAACAATGGTACAGTTTATATATCATGCGCATCGGAAATGATCCATGATCGTGGGGTCCAGAAATTATGTGATAGTTAACCAATGAAAGACAAGTGCGACGTCGTTTGATGGTCGGCTAAACCAATCAAAAAGTATGGATTGCCTTGCGATCCCACAGTCTGGCGATGCCACACGCACCTGGAAGGTGTTGATGCGCTGAAGGCGAATTTTTAAAGCAAATACCGGATGACATTTCAGAAGCCAGGCGTAGTTCAGGCTCCAGTGGAACGGATGAAATGCGGTCAGTGCTCATGCCTATTGGAACAGGTAGGCGAGCCAGACTAGGTGGCATTCGCATCCCCAGCTCGGACTGCTGAGCCCGTGTTGGAGGAATCACTGTCGATTGGTTTTGTTGATGAGGTATCCATGCAAGCGATTTTCTGTATATGGCACCGGGGCTCCCCACCACATCGGTGGGGAGCCTCGGTGCCCACCTGAGGGACGGCCCAACACTCACCCGGAAGGTGGTCACCGCCAGGGCTGCCCCGGTGCTGTACGGGGCAGACGACGCGTCCCACACGGCCAGGTGCAACTGGGGAGACCCGTCCCCGTCCTGACCATGATTCAGTGCCGCTGCCCCCTGAACCCTTAAGTCGCTGCGCACGGCCAGGCGCCCCGAGCGGAGACCCGCACGGAACAACCAGCCGCAGCGTGAGCGACAAGCCGCTCGACCTGTGTGGGGCCTCACGCCCCCCCCCCCGCGCCCCCTGATGTCATGGTCAAAGTAGAGCTTTGGGACACGTCGTGACTAACCCGCACGACGCGACACTCAGTCACCAGGATCCGGTCAACTCGGAGACACGGGCGAGGGGGCACGGTAACCCCGATAAAACGGGGATGAGGAATGGTGAGAGGGCCGGAAGCGGGAATACAGGCGCTTAGGAGGGAGAGGGCGGGACAAGGAGCAGAAGCTCACGTACTGGCAGGGTCGCTGAGCCCTGAAATGAACAGCACGCGCTGTCCACCCGTTACCGGAGCTGGGACCCGAGGGGGCGCTAGTCTCCTCCACCGGCCGAAACCGGTGCCCTGCGGAGTGGATCAGTCACCATTTCGTATGAACATGACCATGCATGTTTGACTGAAAATGTTCAATATTCAATCAGAATCGATTAGTGATATAAATTCTGTGACGAAGTTTTGAACATGCGAGCTCGCAAATCATACCCGCTACCCCGACGGGACGTAAACAGGGGGCTTAAATTTGGTAGCCCGTAGTAGTATGATTTTTGGCTGATACTATAAAGGGGTTGGGATATACTAGAAACATAATTAAAAACGGAGATTTCCCCAATAAATTGGATGTCAGTCGTGTTCTACATCTTTATTCCAGCACTACGTGACTAGATAGACAGCACACTTGGCGTTGCAAAGACAAATGCTGCTTGGACTTTTTAAGACAAATCAATATCAGGATTTGCCTCCAGAAAATCCTATTAAACTACGTTTTCTGGCTCCGACACCCACGCCATGTTCGTCGTAGTCAACGCCACTGAAGGTTTATATGTGACGCCTTTTTACCAAATATGTATGAATTGTACATCTATAAATATTACGTGAAATACTTATTTTAAATGTTGGATGGGCAAGTGAAAAGGGTTCGCGGGGGATAATGCCTTGACTACTCTCATATATCTCCAGGGCTATTTTTGAGCTGAGATATGCACCACGACTCTGACTAGCAGAAATTGCAAAACTTGCCAGAATTCGTCCCATTTTACAGGAAAATCTGCTAACTTGAGCTGTTGTTGTTGCTGTTGTTCCATGTTGTATTTTTGCACAGGGTGCTTCTAAACGCCTACGGTTAGCGTTCTTCGGAATAAAGCACTGGCAAACTGGTTATCCCATCTGTCTGTCGGGGGCGGGTTGGAAGCGCATTTTAGTAATTATTTTGTAGCTCCGGTGCAAACCAACGCCATTTCCCAGCTCAAAATGATTCATTGAATGTGCTAGGTTGAAAGAAATCAGGTTTGTGGAAACATTTATGCATAAACCAGCCCACAAAGGGCAGCGTTTTCACGCCGCCGTAGCGTTGGTGCCATATGATGGCCGCTCTGAAGACCTCGAGCGACCCTGGGCCAGACGATCTCCATCCAAGGCTTCTTCGCGAGTCCGCAGATGTCCTGGCAGCGCCCCTCAGCATGCTTTTTCGAAAACCTTTGGCATCCAGAAGGCTCCCTCTGGAGTGGAAGCTTGGCGAGGTCCCGATCTTCAAGAAAGGTAACCGACAATCTCCAGCGAGCTACCGCCCACTGAGCCTTACTGCTATTCCCTCCAAGATACTTGAAACTGTCGTCCGTGATGCCATACTTAATCACTTCTCAGATTCTGGACTTCTTCAAGCAGCCCAGCATGGATTTCTCCCTAAGCGGTCCTGTACCACCCAGCTGTTAGAGGTCATGGAGGATTGGAGCGCCGCGGTAGAGGATGGAGAGCCGGTGGACGTGGCGTATCTGGACTTCAGCAGAGCCTTTGATTCTGTTCCCCATAACCGTCTGCTCTCCAAGCTTCATGCTTACGGTGTAAGAGGTAATTTGCTACGCTGGATCAGGGTTTTTCTTACTCACCGGGTGCAGAGAGTGCGGGTCCAGGGCTCGAAGTCGGACTGGACCGACGTCGTCAGCGGCATCTCGCAACGGTCAGTACTTGGACCAACGCTGTTCATCATTTTTGTGAGCGATCTACCAGAACAAGTGCGAAGCGTGGTCAAGATGTTTGCGGATGACACCAAGGTCTATTGTCGTGCCCCGAGACCCCTGACTCACTCACCTCTGCAGGCTGACCTCGGCGCCCTGGCCAAGTGGTCAAAGGAGTGGTTGCTCCCCTTTAGTGCAGCAAAGTGCAAAATAATGCACATCGGGAACTGCAACCCGAGGCTGACGTACTTCTTGGACGGCGCCGAAATCGTGGTCGAGTCCACCGAGAAGGACCTCGGGATCTTCGTGGATTACCGGCTCCAGTTCCACGTGCAGACGGCGGAAGCGATCTCCAAGGCCAACCAGATGCTGGCGGTCGTGAGGCGGTCTTTTGCCAATATCGACGCTCGCACGTTGCCATTGGTTTTTAAGATCTTAGTACGTCCGTACTTAGAGCATGGCAACGTTATCTGGGGCCCGTTCGGCAAAGTGGACCAGAAACGGCTAGAACGGGTTCAGCGGCGAGCCCGGCTTGTCCCGGCTTGTCTATGAAGTGAGGCGCCAGCCATACCCTGAGAGGCTCAGACTCCTTCAGTTGCCCTCACTGTACTATCGTCGTCGCAGGGGAGACATGGTAACAGTGTACCAGCTGTTTCACGGAGGCATGTCGCTATCGGAAGAGGAGTTCCTGACAAGGCACAACTCGGAGGTGACAAGAGGACACCAATGGAAGCTCAGAAAACCGCGAGCTAGGACTCTCGTCCGTCGTAACTCATTCAGCATGCGGGTTGTCAACGACTGGAACGCTCTTCCACACCTGGTCGTGTCGTCGACCTCAGTTGAACAGTTCAAGTCTAGGCCTGATACGCACTGGGCTGACATCATGTACGACGTCCCACACTGAATCTTCCCATAATGTGAGACTGTTTGGTTGCCGGACCGGGAGCCTGACGAGACCGGGACCTACAGGCCTAGTGGCCTTTTACAATTCCCGATCACCATCAGGTAAGGTAACGTATGATTACGTCCCATGATGACGTCACAGCGTCGCTCATCCAAAATGCAGTAATGCAGGGCTTGGGGGGCGGCAATTTGTGACTGAAAGGTTGCCTGGACCTGGACGGGATTTGGCCGGGGAGCCGGTGGCGGTCAACGATAAGACGAAAATATGTGCATTAGAAAGGTAACCGATTGCACGTTCCAGGTAAGGATATGTAACAGAGCCATGGCTGAGCACGTTTTGTATCATGGACTCACTGGAAAGCTAGTGCCATTGCTCTAGAAAACTACGTAAAGTTCACGCAAGCTACGAAATTAGTGTGGGATGCTTAGTGGTCATTATGCACATAAATACATTATGCGGCAAGATCAAATTGCTCATCAGCTGGTGCTTTTATCACATTTAACTCGATGAATAATCATGAAACAGATTATGTTGTGGACATCAGCTTACCCTCTTTACAGCTTACTATCATAGAACAGCAGATATTGGTCAGGTGTAGGTCCTGTGACACTGGAGGCACAATGTCAGGCTATTGTGGTAGTTCAATCAGCATGTGCTTTTCAGGGTGGAGCTTCTGCAGGCTGTTGACTGATTGACATGATGGCTAAATATGGTGTCTTGATGTGGTAGGAATATGACATGGAATGTATGGTTTTTGAGAAATGATTTGAATGTGCTAGAAGGTAGGGTTGATTCTTTTTAAGTCCTAACTTACAAGTTATTCAATGAATTTCTTTGTGAAATGAAATGTGGGCTTGCTGAATGGCATGCTGCAATGGTATAATGCTCAGTTTTGTTATCTTCACCCTTAGTGGTAGTTTGTGCATTACAACTAATTCATCAGCACAATTTTGATTAATGTAAAAAACCTAAAATTTCCCTCAATCAGATCCTTGAGATTGGTGCTTCAATTTCAGATGCTGTACTGTCAAGCACATCATTGAGCTTGAAGTCCTTATCCAAACTCGACCTGTATAATGGATGTCTCAGCTCCTGGTGCATCATCCTCAGAAGACCCTCCTACAGATGATGTCCCTGCACCTTCATCAGAGAGGTCCTCTACAGAGGATGCTCCTAGACCATCAGAAAACCCCTCTATAGATGCTGCCCCTGCACCATCATCAGAAAACCCTCCTATAGATGATGTTCCTGCACGCTCATCAGAAAACCCTCCTATAGATGATGTCCCTGCACCTTCATCAGGGAAGTCCTCTACAGATAATGCTCCTAGACCATCAGAAACCCCCTCTTTAGATGCTGCCCCTGGATCTTCATCAGAAAACCCTCCTGCAGATGGTGTTCCTGCACCCTCATCAGAAAATCATGCTGTGGATAATGTCCCTGCACCTTCATCTGGGAGCCCTGCTACAGATGATGCCCCTGTAGAGGAACCTTCCATACAAAATGCACCTGCTGACCTGTCTGCAAATGAGGCCTCAGCAATACAATCAGGGAATGCTTCCACAACCACTGTGCCTGCCCCACATACAGAAGAAGCACCTATAACTGGTATGCCTGCCACACCCATTGAAGCTCTTCCATAAAAGATGACCAAACTACGCCCTTGAAAGACCGTTCTTCAAAGGGTGGACCTACAGCACCATTGGAAGATCCTTGCAAAGGGTGCCTCTTTTGCACCAATGGAACGACCCCAAGCCAAGCAGAATGTTCCTGCTGGTGTTCCCACCAATGATGCCCCAGTCATGGCATCAAGGGATGCAGTTGAAGCCAATACTGGTGCTTTGCCCATGGAAGCTCATTCCACAAAGATTGCAGCTGCAAACCAATTAGGTGGCCTCTCCAAGATGTGCCTGCTGCTGCCTTGGAAGATCCTGTTGCAAGGATGACACGCTTCTGCTTCTGAAGATCCTGCCACAATGGATGGTGCAGTCCTTCTCTGGATGAGCCATCTATGGGGGAAGCACCTAGCCAGCCTGTGGACGACGGTGGCAGCAAGTAGATGACCACAGTGATGTGGATCCGTCCTCAAAACCGTCGTCCACCATGGATGCCTCATTTACCTTTGAAAGGATCGTCTTCGGTGACCCCTGGCAGTCCACCTTCAAAGGGACCTTCCATCAGGATGCTGGCGACCACGCGTCGAAAAGGCATCGGTGGAGGAAGCCCCATCTCCATCCCCCACCGAAGAGCACTTCGAACAAGAGACACTCAGATTTATAGCTCAACCGAACCCGTCCGCAACGAGTACCCGCGACCGAAACTTCAAGGAATTCCTCGGCAGGAGAAGCCACAAATCTCCGTTCGCGACGAGTCCTGCGCAGCGCAACGCCCCGGACCCCATATCAGGCCAACCCGTCTGGCGAGAATGCAGCGTCGCCGGCCCTCAGGCGAGCCGTCGAGACGAGCCCCCGGACGAGCTGTCTGACCTGACGGACCTGTCCGAGCTGTCGGAGCCGCAATGTCACGACGCCACGCGCGCCTGGTGGTGCACGCCGTGCTCTCCCGTGCTCCAAGCTGCTGGACGCCGGCGCGCTGCCGCAGCTGCAGGCGGCACCGGGCGCGCTCTCCGCCGCCGGCCTGGCTGCTGCGCCGCGTGCTCGAGGCGGCGCGGCGCTACGTCGAGTCGGGCGACCGGTGCCGTGGCACCGGCTGCTGCCGCTCGGCGTGCGGCTGGCCGAGCACGTGATGACGGTGCCCGAGTGGCGAGGCGTGGAGGCGCGCGCGCGGCCCGCCTGGAGCACCGCGTCATCTACCGCACCTGCGCGAGCTGGGTCTGGCGCCGCTGCAGCTGGAGGCGCGACGCCTGCTGCGCCAACTGCGCCGACGGCCGACGCCGAGCAGTGGGGCGCGCCAGGGCGCTGGCCGAGGCGGCCGCTGAGCTGGCGAGCGCCGGCCGCCGGCGCGCTACCCCGGCGCCGATGCCGGACCGCGACGCGCAGGAGGACGGCCGAGGCGGCGCTGGTGTGCAAGGCCTACCGCGCCGCCTGCCGCGCCCTGCTGACAGAGCCGGGTGCCGCCGCTGGCGCCGCCCCGGGCCCGACGGCTTTGACGTGCGCAGCGGCGTGGCGACCGTGCACGAACGTGGTGCGGTCGGTGGCGATACGCCATCCGCTGGCGCTACTGCGTCGACTTCCTGCGCTCGGAGGAGGAACGCCTGCTGGCGCGTCACGTTCTTCCAGGTGGCTGTGAGAGCAACTCCAAGGATCCTGCGATGCACTGGAGCAGCTCTCGCAGATTGCTGGACCCGGTGTTTGATTTTTCTTTTCTTGTACTTGATTGCAGAGCCATGATGCCGAAAGCAAGTGGAGTGTAGGTTGGAGCATTGGTGTGTTGGAAAGGGTTAAAAGGGCTGTTCCGTTCCTTAGAGATAATCGGTGCGGTTTAAACGTCAGACACAGACCACAACTTCATGTGAAGGAACGAAAGCGCATTCCGAATAGCACCAGGTACATGCCGCGACATACCTAATGGCAGGAGTATAAATTTTGAGAAAATGAACATGACTTAATTTGGATTATTGTAGAAAATTAAGTGAGGTAGTGTTGTCCATAACTTAGTAGTGTATGGCTGCCGTTCGCCCACCCTTCTTGTTTGGATGATATGTACCCAGGATGACATTCTTGTCACTTCACTTCATGCACAACTAAGCCGGATGCTGCGTTCGACCATAAAGGTCGTCTTCGGGTACCGCACGCCGCTGCTGATGTTGGCGCTCTTCTTACAGGTCCGCTTCAGTATCCCAGAACACCACCAACCGATCCCGAAGGCTGTCGCATACGTGTTCTTCTTCCTCACCGTGCCGAAGTCGCAGTTCTCCAACGCTCCCGTGGAGGTAATACCGGCGCGACCCGAGGCCCTAGCTCCTGTAACGCGTGACTGGCGTCAGCTGTCTCGGGACCAGGGTCTTTTCCTCAGGGGGTCGCATAACTCGTGTGATTCCAATAACTGATTTGTGAATGTTGGTCTTTACATGCGAGGAATCGCAATTGCTGCTACATCACATTTGCCACGAATGCAGTCATCACCAGCCGTTCTTTCCTGAGATTGGAGCAGTGCCAATGTCGCCTCCCCTTGTCTGGCCAGGTATTCTACATGATGGAGACCAGTCGAATGCGACACGTGCCGGGGAAAACCAGTTTCCAAGAGAAGTGGCTCATCGACATCGTCAACGTCAAGCTGAAGTTCTGGCGGGAGATCAAGTTCTAGCTTGCAGCGTGCAAATGACTCGGTCGACGGACAGTTCATGCTTTGCCGTGACAAATCAATGTTTCTCGCAACGAAGTTGGGAGTAGAGCGAGACCACGAAACGAATTTAGTAACTCCGGCAATGACAAGGCTATGGGCGGTATCCTCCATTTATCCTTGAGCGTTCCTGATAACCCTATCCCAAGATACCTTGATCGTTGTGGGTAAATTGGTTGTGATTAGCTCGTCTTTGAAATGTGCCTGTTTTCAGGCTGTCCCGGCGCACTCCGTGTGGTGAACGTTACACCTACAATACACAACATATGCACGTAACCTCTGTAGCATCCCGCACTGAAGAAAAGTTGGCCCGCAGCGCTGAGATGGCCGGCGGCCGTCAGTGTTACGTCGTTAGTACTGCTTTTCTCCGCCAGAGTCGCCAGTGAGCCACGATGATCAGCTGACCCGCAGCCGGTGAGATGGCTGGCGGCTGTCAATGTCGCGTGGTCGGCGTGTTCGCCGCCAGTCTGCTGGCGTTCTGCGTACTGTTGTTGCTATACTGCGAGGTCTTCCACCACTATGCGGTGCTGGCCCAGGTTAGCCGCCCTGCCCCTCCGCTCCGCGTGTGACGGACGATCCGAACCGTCAAACACGAGCATATGTAACATGCACATATCACTATAGTGCTGGTGAAACTGGTCAGCAACTTTGTTGGCAGACAAACTGTCTACGTGTGTTATGTCCCACTGGACTTTGTGCGGCAAGCCGCAATTGTTACCACTCAATTCTGTGAAAGCTTCGGCCTTCCCGCCCACCGTGTCGTCACCCTGCTCTGCCTGCTGCCCTTGGGCGACGCCCGCTGTGTGTCCCGCCGCCTCGGGCGCGCCCTACAGCGTGCTGGTGCCGACAGTGCGCGTGGCCGGCGCCGCTGTCCGCCGGCGAGCCGGGCCTGCGGCTCATGCTGCTGGCCGACACGCACCTGCTCGGCTCGCGCCACGGCCACTGGTTCGACAAGCTGCGCCGCGAGTGGCAGATGCACCGGTCCTACGTGTCGGCCGTCACGCTGCACCAGCCGCACGCGGTCGTCTTCCTCGGTGGGCGCCCGCTCCGGGCAGCTGGTCGCTGTCGTCAGCAGCCTGACCTGCTGCCTCCGACTGTTAGCCGTGTCGCCGCCGCTTCAACCTGGCGGGTGCTAGCATCATCACGATCAAGTCCATGCCATCGGTTCTGTCGTTGGCACGGCGTATCGTTCTTATATTCGTGGCCTCAATCAGAATCATCGTCAGAATCGCCATCAGCAGTTAGTTGCCTCATTCGGCAGTGAGTAGTCATTTAATGCAGTGAGTCAGACGTAATCTTGCGACAACGATGATATAGGCGTCAAGTTAAGGTAGACCATTTCAGTATGATCGATGGGGTTTTGACGGGCTGGAATGAAGGGAATATAGAACTCTCGGCTCAGAACGGCCTATCGCCACGCCGTTCGTTAGCCTGCTGTGGTAAAGGAGCAACAGCTGCCCAGTACCTCGTCATATGCTCACAAAATGCAAGAGAGGAGTTTGTTTGTTCCGGTGAAGTTGATGAGTGTTGTCTATATGGGCCGCGGAGCTGCGTGAGTGGACCGTCAGCGTGGTCTGGTGACCCAGGTGACCTGCACGACGAGGGCAAGTGGAGCGGCCCGGAGGAGTTCCAGGAGACGGTGCGCCGCTTCGACAGTCTCTTCCCCGTCTCCGAAGGACTCCGTCGGCTGGTGGTGGCTGGCAACCACGACATTGGCTTTCACTACAGGTGAGGACGGCGGTCCGTCGCTGTGGATGGCTTTCACTAAGGTGAGGACGGCGGCCCGTCGCTGTGGATGGCTTTCACTACAGGCGAGGACGGCGGCCCGTCGCTGTGGATGGCTTTCGCTACAGGTGAGGACGGCGGCCCATCGCTGTGGATGGCTTTCACTACAGGTGAGGACGGTGGTCCTTCGCTGTGGATGACTTTTACTACAGGTGAGGACGGCGGCCCGCCGCAGCGGACCAGGAGCACGTGGGAACTAACTTCAATGGTTTCGCTTTGAGTCCATCGCCCGTTAACATTATGCTTGTTTTGTGGGAACAGGTTCTGAAATCAGCTTGATCATGGCGATTGCTGTTCGCCCTGCCATACTCCAATCCGAATATTAAGTTTACGGCTTGTCATTCCGGTGCTGCCCCAGATCCAAATAAGACACGCGCTGCAGGCGACCCGGAACGGTGTTGCTGAATTAATTTTGAGCGAGATGGAAGCATTTGGCCAATCCTCCCCAAAGGAAAACGCGGCGGATTTGAACGCCTTTCCTTTCAGAGGAGGGACCGGAAGCAGATGCAGCATGTGCGGACGCCACGTCGGCAGCAGTGACCGCTGGTGTGTCGTCTTATCACGTGTTGTGCGCGGTCAGTGGCGCGCCCTGCCCCGCCTGCCGGTGTTGTGTGTGACGCGTCTCTGCTGTCAGCGCGCGGCGCCGCATTCTGGAGCCGGTTCGACGCGGCGCACAACACGTCAGGGG